CTCAACACCCTTCAATGTCTGACTCTGGTTCGAATTCGATATCCTTCAGTTCTGATTCAGGTTCAGACTCGGCAGATGAAGGCACCCAATGTCAGCCTGTGGCTCCACCGAGCAGTGGCGCCTCTATTGAACACTACCAACAGGTACGCTTGTGCTTTTGTTCGTATCACATATTCTAAATTCTAACATACTTGTTAATACATTAGTATATCAAATATCTCCAGCTTCAACAAGGGCAGCTCCAGCAGCGGAATGCATCTCTGAATGAGAGCAATGGCATTCTGGCTGCACAACAGCTGAAACGTTCTCGTAAACGCCCTCAAACATTGTCGTCTAGGGTATCGTCAATGTCGCAAACAGCATCTGCGATACTGTCCGCATCAGAATCTGCTGTCTCAGCTCCTGCCTCATCGACGACGAATGATGTTGACAAGCTCATTTTAAGCCTGGCGAAAAAATATGCATTAACTACCGAGATGTTTCTCCCTGACAAGGTTATTTTTCAAACAGACTGTCCTGATCCTGCAGTCGACTTCTCGAATCCAAATCGTTATGCGAAGAAGTCTACAGCAAAGGATGCACTCGTTGCTGAACTCTATGCGTCCATTGACCACACGTTGCACGCTCAGATGCGAACAAATGCATTCTTCAACCAGGTGCACAGTTTTTCTCACTTCAAGGCTTTAATATTATAATAAATACTTCAATCAGTTCGGGAGCGGAATGCAGCAAGCTCGCTCATCATTTCTAAACAGCCTGCGTACTGTTGCAGGCGGCATCTTCAACATGCCCAATGAATTTTTCATTTCGAAATACGACCGAACTTCCCTCTCACAGGTCACAGACTTGATCGGATGGGAAGCAGGCAAAGGCAAGGCCTATGATATCTTCAAGGCGCCCATACTTTACCCCGATCATATCGTGAATGAGAAGAAAATCTTCAGGAACTGGATAGTCATCGCAAAGGTAAGGTCAGTTTATACTAGTAACAGCGGATCTGGCTACTCATATGTTGCTTTGAAGGCTATGAAGGTTGCGGTATGCGGAAAGATGTCATTGTATTCCAAAGCACGTGGCGGACCACCTTCCTACGCTAAGATGTGGAAGCTCACAAGCTGCACTCCTGGCCTGATCGCATTTAGCGTCACATCGGTAGGGTCCCAGTCATGTCCTGTAGATCATATTCATCCTGTCCCCAGACCAGGAATTCTCGGGTGATGGAGTTGGTGCCATTTCCTCGATCGCGTATCACTCCCTCTTTCAGACAGTCAAGAAATTCTTCGTTGTTAAGTGGAACCACCAGCGCATCAAATCGGTCGTCGAGCAAATCAATGGATACGTCTTTGATGGTACCGTCAAGACGCAGCCATCCAATGACACTCAGTGCACCATGGAGCAAGTCACTGAATCACTTGATCGTGTTATGGCCGCGCTGGACGCCAGTGATTCAGACTCAAACGATGATTCAGACTCATTGGAATATGTTAACTTGCCGGTACAGGCAGCTAACATCCATCCGACTGTAACTGCAGCTGCAGCTGCAACCATTTCAACCTTGCAACCTAAGACAGCCGTTGACGCTCCCCAACTCGAAGCCGCAGTCCCGCAACCCAAAGCCGCAGTCCCGCAACCCAAAGCCGCAGTCCCGCAGTCCGAAGCCGCAGCCCCGGGGCCTATCATTCAAGTTGATACTAGCCTACAACCTTCCATTTCAACTCCGTGTTTTTCAACTCCTATGGCACCATGTGTAGAGACTTTGGTGGATGCCCAGGGTCAGAGCGAGGACGTATCACCAGCTATTGGGCTTGTTACTATTGCCAAACCTCAGGCAAAGGCATCCAGGGGCAGGAGGAAGCCCAAGAGTCAGACATTGGCCAGTGATTCTACCACTATTCGCCGCTCCTCACGTCACGCTGTAGCATGATACTTCTGTCTCCCTAGTATTGCTATTAAGATCTGATCACACAATCACTAGATTCTAGCTCTACTGTAATCCGAGTGTTTGGGTTACCTATGTGTTGCTCCTTCGTACAGCTTTTGCAATCTCACTGTGCCTTCATCCCAATGCCAACCCCAACGACGACCTGTTTGTGTACCGGATACAGGCAAAATTCTCTCTTCTTAGACTGGCGCCTCAAACCCATCACCAATTCTATCATGTCGTAGGAGCGCCTGTCTTCCAGCGCGAAAGGTCGAGTTCAAGCCTCGGACAGATCGTGAAGATTGCTAATAACAACTAGTCGTGAAGGGTATGGACTCGTCCGAGTTGTGGAGGTGGTGAGTCCTGGTTGCAACTCCTTTGTGGAGGAAGGACGATGAAGGCAAGACCGTTTGCAACGCGTAAGTTCTCATTTGTTGTTCCTTCTATATTCGTACCTATCTCTTATATACATACAGATGCGGCCTCTACTATAAGCTTCACGGCTCTGCTCGTCCCATTAGTATGAAATCCGATATTATTTGGAAGCGCTCTCGACACGACGCTCGTGCGCAGCACTCCTCCCTCACCAAGCCCCCAAGCGCATCTAACATGCCTGGCACTCCTTCCGTTATGGAGGAGACAGTTTCAGAACGGGTTCTGGTGCGACAAGCGCAGGTACTTCTTCGTCTTCGCGGCGCAGCAGCATGGACTCGTCTGTCCACACAGTCGATGCGGGCACTGTTGTGCCACACCCGCCACTATACTACCCACCAACCCACCATGAGACCCGCACCCGCCATGGGGGTGTGGGTATACCTGCGGGTGTGGGTGCGGGTGCGGGTGATGCTTGCGACACCCACGGGTACACCTGTGTCATTCCCTAGTCGTTGGTGGTCGTTGGCTCTCTCGATCTTGTTCTCTCGCTAGATGGGGTTCATGCCGAGATTTTCACGGTGTTAGTAGTTGGCTCTCTCAATCTTGTTCTCTCACTAGAGGTCTCTGGTCCGTCATCTTGAGCTCGTCAATCACTTGTTGGTCATGTCTGAGTTCGTTCTTGCAGCCAGCAAGAATGATGGGAATGCCAGCACAGAAATGCATCACCTCAAAAATCTGCACATTGTCCAGAGTCGGTGAGTCGACAGCAAAGCAGATAAGAACAATATGTCTTGAACTAACTGATAAGATCTGAAGCGGTCATAGTCTTCTTGCCCTGCTGTATCCCATAATAGCACATGACAAGCTCGATGTGCTTTCCGTCAAGCACCATCTGAATCACTGACGATAGTGAGCTTCCTCCTTATTTCAGCCATTATTCAAACATAGAAAGTAGGATTGCATGGATATTGCATTACAATGAGTTTGCGGCCATTCAGATGCCTATAGTAATACATGTTTGTCGCCAATTTAGCCCTTTTGCTATGATTATTTCCTAACATGGTAATTTATTTTATGTCATTGAGTTTATCATTGATAGTGCTTAGGTTGACGATTCAAACTCACTTTTGTTCCTCAATGTCGACGTCCATGTTCCCATCTGGTCCTGGTGCCTTCAGCCTCCCCTTCATCACTCCAACATAACCTTTGCTGCTCTCATTTTGCTCCAGCAACTCAAGGTACGCTTGATTTTAAATTGCCCGTTTCCCTTCTGAATCCATTTCATCTTTTTTAGACTGCATGTCCAGAATTCTGGTGCCTTCAACCTCCCCGTCATCACTCTGTGACTTTTGCTGCTCTCATTTTGCTCCAGCGACTCAAGGTGCGCTCATCACTCTGTTACTTCTGCTGCTCTCATTTTGCTCCAGCGACTCAAGGCGCGCTCATCCGTCTGTTACTTTGCTGCTCTTGTTTTGCTCCAGCGACTCAAGGTGTGCTCATCACTCTATTACTTTTGCTGCTCTCGTTTTGCTCCAGCGACTCAAAGCGCGCTCATCACTCTGTTACCTTTGCTGCTCTCGTTTTGCTCCGGTGACTCAAGGTGTGCTTTGTTATATGTTGTCCGTTTCCCTCCCATCTCATCTCTTTGCCTGTCCAGAGTCGGTTGCGCCCCCCATCACACCAAGCATCATCACTTAGACCCTGTTACTCTTGCTGCTCTCGTTTTGCTCCAGCGACTCAAGGCGCGCTCGTCACTCTGTTACTCTTGCTGCTCTTGTTTTGCTCTAGCAACTCAAGGCGTGCTCGTCACTCTGTTACTCTTGCTGCTCTCGTTTTGCTCCAGCAACTCAAGGTGCGCTTTATTTGTGTTACCTATCTCTTTTCGATCTCATTTTTTTGCGTGTCCAGAGCGCACTTATTCTATGTCGGTTGTTGGTCATGAGCAGGCTTTATGGTCCGGGCAAGTACGGAGGCGAGGGGAGTCATTTCTGTTTTCACCATGCATATCATAATGTAGATTAATATTTGTCTCACAATAACAATTGATATGCGTTGAACATTCATCACCACCTTGCTGGAATGATTATCACGACATTAAGACCTCAGTTGACAACCTTACAATGTGCATTCAGACCACAGGGCCGCCATTAAAATGCCCACTAATACTCGGTGGGTACCATTAAAATACCCATTGATATTAGGTTAATACTTATTAAAATACCCGTTATATCATCATGTTCACGTGCATTAAAATGGCGCGAGGTTCATTAAAATGCTGACTGTTTGATCATAATCTATGGCAATGGGTCCGCGTCGTTAGACCATTTTAATCGATTAAAATGCCGTAAAAAAAGTTCCGACAGACAACTCAAATTAGAAGACATGAACAACATGCGGAGGGATCGCATACCGCAAGAATCCCAGCGTTGTAACTTGTCATGGTCCAGGAACCTGCGCCAATACTTGACTACATTGGCAGCTACATGATTGGCGGTGGTGGCTGCTGACATAAAGTGATTTTTCATACACGTGACTAGGCGCGTCGCGATCGAGTTCGTTTATTTCGTGGCAGTGCTGATTTAACTGGTATAACAGAGTATAAATACAGCGTGCCTACTACAAGATACGTCTCCCATTTCCCGTCCTCGATTTACGTGCATTACTTTCTTCACTACTCATTCTCAACTTCAACTCGCCTTACAATATGATTTCCGCTATCTTCGACGGTGCCGCCCATGTCACCGTCGCTGGGTGCCTCGGAGCATTCTTTTTCAAACACACTGTGGTGGATCGGACGTCCAAGGCCATCAAAGAAGCAGAGAACGTCACCGCTGGCCTGGTCATATCCGAATTCTGTATTTCTGTCGCGGTACTAGTTCTAGCTTCCAACGAGACCGCCCGGATACTCCTCAGTAAAGATGGTCAACCCCCTCCGAAGCACAATTTAGCCAAGCTCAACGCGCCTCTCATTTGCAACAAAGTGTCCGATTTCTCTACTGCAGCAGACTCAATTTCAATCGCAACCGAACCATGTAGCACTCCGCCGTCCGTATCAATCGCAACCGACTCTTGCAGCACTCAGCCAGACGTAATAATTTCACCGAATCTAATCGCAAACGACTCTTGCAGCACTCAGCCATCTAATACGTGTTCTACTTTATGCACGCCAATACTGCCGACTTCGCCGGTTCCGAACACGAAGCGCCTCTCAATGGATTCTGACACGACTCTCGTCGATCATCATGACGACTTCATGAAGGACTTCTCTGGCGTGGACCTTCAGGAAAGGAATATCCTCCAGGTATAAAGTCACACAGTCTCCCCATTTTTATCGCTCAATGTTTGAATCTTTGTAGGACGACAGCGACTGTTCCAGTGGCGACCTATTGCAAGGCACGAAACCACTCGCGATCGATGACTGGAGTGGACCCTCTCAGCGGACGCAAGTCCAGCCAATCACCCTGGAGGACGGACGCCTGACGACCACCGACGCTTCGCTTCTCGTGGACGCTTCGACTCATACGATCGCGACGCCCTCTCTTGGCAGCATCCCAACTCAGATCGTCTCGCCTCAGCTGAAACCCCCGGATACGAAACGGCATCATAATTTCCGCCCGGGAAGACACAAGGTATGGACATGTTCGTTGCGAAGCCAAGTGCTGCACTCACCGTCGTTTGTTAGCGCGAATCTAGATCTGCTCGCTTGGCCGCTGCCCGTGGCAGCATCGAATGCACTCGCTCCAA